CTGTGCAGCAAAAGTGCTAACCACCGTGCTGCCCGTGCACCGTGAATCAGAATCATATTGTTTCTAATCGTTTTCCAACTATTTTATACTATCCCCCCCCCCAACACTACTGATGTATTTCTAACAGCTTCTTCTATTTCGTACCGTATCTCATGTAGCTTCACCACTTCATTGACTACAACCACCAGCAGCAGGGAGACAGACACTAGCAGCCAGGCCTCCAGCGGTATGTCAGCCAGTTTAAAGCACAGGACAGTAGTCTTGTCACACCACAACTGGTAATCCACTGTGGCTTGAACAATCTGGCTGACCAGTCTGGTGAAAAGTACAGACAAGAGGATTGCATACATATACATACCCTTTTCTATTAGTACCTACTCGTGTTGGCTTGGTATGGCTTAACAAGGGTTTTTAGGGTTCGCCATGGGACGATAGTAGTGACTGGTAGCAGGTACCTTTTTAGTACCTGCTTGGCCACAGTCTCAACCGGTCCAACCGGGTACTAAAATGTGACATCGAACCGCATGCCACGATTGGCTAATCAGTGGCGTCACTTGATGATTCACGAGAGCGTCTCCTTATCGAAAATCAAAACCTCCATTTTTGAAACACGACAACGAGGTAAATGGGTACACAACAAATAATACTGTGGTCTTCAAGTCTGACAAAACGCCACCGACTGAGGAATGGGAATAGCATCGGTCTGATATCCTCCTCTACTGTCTTGATGCATGCTCAATCATCCTGGTAAGTGAATCCCAAAGAGTTAATTCTGTTCATCTGGACGTTTTTAGTTTTCAAGTGATTTTCTTCAGTCTCAGATGACTGCAGGTCTCTGTAACCTTATAAACAGTACCTTTGCACAATGACAAGCCCAATGGGCTGTGAGGTCAGTTTCTCGATCATTAATATGCAAATTGTCATGACCACTGATCAACAACCACAGATCAAAGACCACTGATCAATGCCCATGAGTACTATTCATAGAGTTGGGGAATGGTTGCAATCACAGCATTGTATGATGGTGAAAGATGTCCCCTCCTCGATTCAGAGGAGCTCTTTCCCTTTTCACATAAATGGCCTCCTTGACTCCCCGCTCAAACTAGCAAACTAGTGTTTAAACACAACGTCCACAGATGAACACAATCAACTCCTTGGGGCTCTCCTTGTGTTGTGGTGTCATGTGTCGCATGCAAATGATGTAACCGGACACTCTGCTGCGTTGCTATTAAGACCTCACGCACATTCGTGGTATATTGATTGTAACGAGCCGATCCAAGTAGGTACTAATAAAAAATTGCTAACAAAGACTCAAAAACAAAGGCAATTCAACTGATTTTACTGTAACGTATAAAGTATCATAAGACAAGATCTTATTATGGTCATGACTACATTTTACATTCTGCCAACTCTGAGGTAAACAGCAGAACTACAGTTCTGTGCAGAAGTCTTGAGCCACCCACCTGTTTTATATTTTGTTTCCAAGAATTCAGCTTTTTTATTTTTAAATGATCTATAGGCAATAGTTTTACAGACATTATTAAGCTCTTTCAAAGTTTTTCTTTGGACATTGGGTGCTTTTTTTTCCAGTTTTCAGTCCAGTCCTTGTACCTAATCATTTTCAGAAGAATGTTTTAACACTGGCCTATGACTCATGCAGGCATAAAAAGGCACCCAACTCAACCAATGAAGGATAATTATAACAATGATAACAATGTTATAAAAACTGAAAAAACACAATTTTAGAAATAAGAAGGAAAAATCCAGCGAAGACCTAAAAGTCCTCCTTTGAAATGCATCTGATCCTTCAGTCATTTACTGTTTGACCACGACTCAGTAATGACTTCCATGGAGTGTGGCTATCAAGAAGCCATTCTCAAAAAAGGGAAACAAGAAGAAGAGCTTGAGGTATGCCAAATTGCACAAGAACGGGACTGAAAATCAGGGGTATCAGGACTTCTATACAGCTGGACAGAATTGTTAGCCCACTATGTAAATATAATTTTTAAGCACATGTTTTAACAGTACTTGGAAAATACTTGAATTTTTTCCCCCCAGTACCATCACTTTGGTCTTCTGGAGGTAGTTCTTCACCACGAGTTGATATGATTTGGCTCCTTGTCAGGTTGGAAGACAAAGCAACAACCCAGAACCACTTTTACTATGGACTGCATGAGTTTTTCTGTTAAAATCTTCACATTTCCCTCTTTCTTCATGATTTCATCGACCATGACGAGATTCCCACTTCCATACTTGCTGCAGCATCCCCATAGTTTGGCGTGAGGGCAGTATGCTTTGGGTTGTACACATCTCCCTTCTTTCTACAAACATAACCAATGTCTTTGGCCAAAGAGCTAGAATTTTGTGTCATTTGACCAAAGGACGCATTTCCTACCTCTGCCAGTATGATGGCTGCATGCAACCACACAACTGAAATACTCTGTTACCTGGAGCTGGTTTAAGTGCAGAGGCAACAAAATGGACTTAACCATCTGTTGAGACATTCAGGGGGGAATGGGGTTTCTTCTTGTATTATGTTTAGCTATTGCTTTGTGGTTTTCACCTTTTATTTATACAATAGTTCATTCAGTCACTATATAAGTGGAGCTGTCTCTCATTTGGGGAGGTCGGTTTGTTGAATTATGATATTTTGTACTTTTTTGAGTAGAATTTTGTTTAGTCAACCTCTTTTATGGGCCCACTTAATTATTAATATGGCTTGTTTCTGTCATTTAATTTTTGTAATAATTTTGTCTTTTTTGGAGGGTAGAGTAAAACCTATTTCTTGAAGTGCCTGTATGTTCTCATAGCCAGGCTTGCTCTGTACTGGGTGGCTCACTTCCTCATGTTCCTCATACTTGGAAATGTTACAACATTTTATATTCAACTGCTTTGTGGGCATCAATAAGTCTTTCTCTAAAGTCTAAATTGATTTTATTTCTTTCTGGCCTGATGCTTTCTCAAGTGACAGCTCAGACACTTTTTTCTACTGTATAAATAAGATAAATCCCAGTTTTAACTCGAAGCTTTGGTCATTTTAAAGTCAAAGCACATCATTGCACAGCAGTGGTTTGGGCTACGGCTCAATGGAAAAGGTCAATGTTTCAGAGGGCTAATAATACTGACCCCAGTCATTTTTGTTTTCTTTCTGAAATTATTCTTTCAATATGTGCAAATAAAAATATTTTGTGCTTTCTAAAGAAACCTAATGTATTTAGAAATGCTCGTTTGAAAATCTCTTTTTCTGTTAAAAAAAAAAAAGTACTTGAAATTTCATAGTGGGAGTAATAATTTTGTTCTTATCTGTATGCAGAAGTCAAGAAAGAGGTATAACAGTGTCTACAGCAATCTATAAAACACGGTGAAGACTAATGGTTTAGGTCTGCATGGCTCTTCAGTGGAGTTATGAACATGGAAATGTGCAATTAGATTTTTATCCACCATCCACTACCACCTGGAAAGCAACTGATTGGCAACGGCTTCATTTTTTAGCATGACAATGGTCACAAATATGACACCAATGCTGTAAAAATAACAAGGTTTTTACACGTACCGAGATAGAAAAAGTAAACTATTTGCTGCACATATACTTTCATAGCAAAAAATCTAAATGAAGCATGGATCAAGACTTTTGCACGGTACTGAGTTTTCTCTCAGGTGTTGCAGCAACATAACCACAATGTTCAAAGTTTGATTCTAGCTTTGTGAGTGCAGTATGTCAACTCAACATTGCATTCATTTTGAAAGTTGTCTTGAAATCTCATTAGTAAATATGTCTATGAACATTGCATAACATCTTTAATAGACAAACACATGAACTCCAGCAGCAATCTGTTCATTTTAACCCTGTTGTAAGTACAGCATCTAAAGCTAAATGTACTGGTGTTTATACACTGCAATTTTCTAGTCTTACTGATCACTCAAAACAGGACTGCTGAAATCAATTATAAAACCAACGTTAATCTTAGTCCTTGATGTTTGCAAAGATGTTGCTAAACACTGGGCTTTAACATTATCTAAAGAACATAATTACTTACACCACAGGTACAGTGACACACCACCAGGTATTGCTGAATGGGCTCTTTTTCCATAAAGGCTGCGAGCGATGGACATAGCTCAGGGAGATTACCACTGGTAAATGACAGAACAACAATAAGAGAAGTTCGCTTTTAAAAAAGAAAACACAATCACTCATCTTTAACATGGGAGTTTTACTGATCATCTCGTGATTATCAAAACAATCTGTGTTCAAAATGTTCATTTTTTTTAAAAACTACCTCTCTGAAAATGGGGCCCTATGTATAAGGCCACGTCCACATGTACATGGGTATTTTTGAAAACGCAGGATTTTCTATGCATTTGTACCTTTCGTCCACATGTGTACGGCGTTTTAGATCACTGAAAACTACGATTTCTAAAAACTCCTGCCAGGGTGGAGGTTTTCAAAAACTCAGTTTTTGCGTTTGTGTGGACGAGGAAAACTGAGATTTAGTCATGCAACGTCAGAGGTGTGAGCCTCTTTTGACGTGACGTCACGTTATTGTTTACATGAGATTAATTTCTACAATTGCGGATATAGACTATAGACTATATAGACAAATACTATTGGTGTTAATCTGCAGTTTTTACACACTTACATATACACACACACTTACTGTCCCTCCGTTTAGAAAGACAGAGGCGTCAGAGTGAACTTCGCACGTGGCTTATACATTCAACCAGTGTTGGGAAGGTTACATTTTAAAATGTATTCCACTACAGATTACAGAATACATGCCCCAAAGTGTATTTTGTAACATATTCCGTTACGTTACTCAATGAGAGTAACGTATTCTGAATACTTTGGATTACTTAATATATTATCATGCTTTAGAACTACATGAATGTCCTATTGCTGTGTGATTTATTACTATCACTGAAGGTTACTCGCCATACCAATACCAACTAGATTTTTTAATCTTAATATAAATGAGTAACAGTAGGGTGGACATTAGGTAAGGCTGGCCTTTTTGCAGCGATCTCGTATAGAAAACTATTCCGCGTGTATAAAACAGGTCCGCGGCTCCGAACCGTAGTAAAGGGACCTCTGGCTAATACGGGCTCGTAGCTGAAAACTAGTTTTACTTTGTTGTCTGGGTCAACTTTGCAAGCGAGAGACAGAGAGAGGCGTTGAAAGGCTGCTCCAACGGAACTTATTGTTTCGGAGGAAAACACGAACACGGTGTACAGTCGAGTCTTAATAGCTTACTTACAACTGGGCTCGTCAGGCTCTCTTTTTGGTTGCAGTGGTTATTATTATTTTTACGGCTCACAGACACATAACGGATATGACAGTCCATTCTCGCTGCAGCATGGGCTACACTGCCCATGAGGCTACATTCTTTAAGGCTATGCCTGTAACACTCTGCCTATTGCCTTCATTTTAAATACTTTTTTGAATAATAAAAAAATAAGATAAAAAAAATTCTTCACGTCATTAGTAGACGTCCGCAAGTAGAGGTGACATGGGCCGTGCGATTGAGACACAGGCATTAGAGCCTCTTAATGCTTGTATTCTGAGTACCACCCTTTTAAACAGTAAATGTAACGGAATACAGTTACTCATATTTTGTATTTGAAATACGTAACGGTGGTACATGTATTCCATTACTCCCCAACACTGCATAAAACACAGGCGCTGCCAAAAATTTTTAATTTATGTATGCTGTATCCATTTAGTTCATTCCTAAGCTGTGAGTCTACACCAAGCTGTCTTTAGTTATTAACATTTGAAATGTTTTCAAAGTTTCAGATGATTTGGGCAAACCTAAGCTCCGAGAACAGAATAAAAATTGTTTTATGGTCCCGCAAATTGAACAGAGGGAGGAAAGGGGTTTTCATTTACTAAAGACGTGCTCCAGTGGAATACTCTAAGATCCTGACTGCTGTTGTCATAGAGCTCAAACTGCTTTAAGACATCATAAAAATCTAAAGGACACTTGTACATATCTATGAAGGCGCTCTTACCTGTGTGCAAGACAAGAAAACCTGCCATGATCTTCTGCGTCATCAGCAGACCGTTAGACAGTTCAAAGAACCACTGAGGTGCACTAGGTGAAACGCTGCAGATATATGGAAATATATTTGTTTTTAACATGTTGCTTACTTGTTCCTCATTATTGCTAATCTAACTGCATTGTAATTAATTTTAGCATTAAGTCTATGAGTGGAACAGCTATGGACTGTTGCAGGTTATTGTTACTCCTACCTCTTTGCAAATATATTACAGGAGGCAGTGGTGTTGTCTGAGGAGTTCAGGTTGCAGTGTGACAAACTGCTCAGGCAGACCGCTTGTAGGCTAAACCCAAAGGCCAACAGGTAGGCACACATAGTCAGGCCAAACTTCAACAGGAAACAGCCAAGGAAGTAGTTCTGAGTCTGGTTAAAGAGGTTGGCAAACAGACATACACAAATTCATCCAAGATTTCAGTAGCTGATCTGGTAATGTAGCTGTTCCTTTTCAGATCACTTTATCAGCTAATGTTACGAAATAGCCATCAGATTCACGTACGGCTAATTGTATCTTGCTTGCCAAAGTTATTGCTAGTAAGACAGCAAATACTAGCCTAGCCTGCCAAATTCCTTCAATAGTTAATGTGATCCTTCATATGAACTTACCCATAAATTCTAAAGTCAAATGACTGAACAAAACAAAGATTTATAACCACTTTCTTCAGTAATACCGCAAAATATAGAATGGCTAGTTATTACTAGCTGTTGTAACTCTTTTACTCAGTGCGATTGTTTTTTAATGTCACTCTTAATTGATCTGTTATTGTATATTTTTCACATGTTCGTATGGGATATTGTATTTGTTTTAAATGTTATGTACCTGCGTGGTACATCTATTTTGACTTTTGTTGCCATGATGCCAGGTTTCTCTTGGAAATGAGATTTTTAATCTCAATGAGATTTTTTTTACCTGGATAAATAATGGACTAATAAAATAAAAAATAAAAACCAAGATATGCAACATGTATTTTGCAATAGTAGCTGCAACTTTGTTGTCATATGACTGATGCTGAGGTAAACAGTAGACGAAATAGTCCACCATTACAGTCTTGTAATTTGCCAGTTGTAACTGTTATGGTCGTGTCTATAATTAATTCTTTCTCTGAGGTTGAGCAGAGTTCTTTAAGTAGATTTTATTAAGCATTCATTTGAGTGGATACAGGAAATATATACACTGTGTGAACAATAAAAACCTGAATAATATTACATGAGTATACTCTATTTCTCATAATTGATACTACCTTCTTTGGGATTGCGTCCAGGTTCTTCCCTGTGGCAACTGTCATAACTGTACTATCAGGTGGCTTTCCCAAAAGTGACACACTGCCAACAGAGAACAAATTAGAACCAGTTTCTTCACGAAACAACAAAATAACTATGAATTATTAGTTTCTAGATATTTACAGTATGTATGTACCTTAGCAGAGGGCAGCTGAAGCATGACACCCAGAGGATGTCAGTGGTGTTCATGGGAGGAGGAAGTTGAGCTAAACAGGCTAAGAACTGTAACACCAGAAGCACATCATGTAGTAAATTACACAGAAATAATGCAGTGTAAACAGGCACATCTTCAGAATTTATGAATCTTCCCTTCTCACCTGGATGATAACCAGACTGAGTTGACACTGCAGCAGAAAGAGGAAGCACTTGCGAATGCCATAGGTTGTGTGTCGTGCCTGCAACACATTCAGCCAAAGGTAGATACATTTATAAATGTAACATTACTCTTAGACTTATCGGGTACACAAGGGCCTGTGTGCATCTAACCTGTTCTATGAGTTTGACCATGCTCACACTCTCTCCTTGGTGGAAGGTAACAGAACAGCCCATGCTGTTGAGCTGTCCAGACAGCCTCAATGGAGACAGTCCTTCTACCTCTCCATTAAACCCTCCACCAGTGGCATAGCCAAACGTCTCCCACAAACACTGAGATGGATACAAAGGGTCCAAAGCAATGCTGTAAAACAGAGAGGTCAGGTGGCGTGATTGTATGGCAATTTGTGCAGGATAGGGTGAACAGTAGTTGGATGCATTCAACACCCTTTAGTGTTAATGTACATTATTTTAACATCAACAATCAGTAAAGCATAATCACACTGTAACAATATATTTTTTAGAAATGTTTAAAATTGCATAAATAAACAAAATTAAGTCTGAAGCAATTACAAGCTCATTTTTTTGCTGATGAGTAAACCATCATCTGCACACTGCAGTTGGAGTCTGATTAAGAGACTTGTCCATTCATTCTCCCAACTCTGCATTGGATTTCTAAAACTATAAGTCACTTGCTTAAAGAAGACCTGTTTTATTCTAGTTTGGCCAGGTGCAGTATACAGGATACACTGTGGCATGAAAGTGTTTTTGAATTAATCTGCAAATATTCCAAATGATTCATTATCTCTTTGGTAGTCCTTGTTCTGCTTTGCAGCCTCAGTTAGCCCCATATTAGAAAAAGAATTACTGTAGCTAACTGCAGTCAGTGACAGAGTTGTTACAACCTACTGCAGAGGCAGTTGATTCTATGTTATTTAGTATGATTGTGCATATTCATATATTTTATTATTAGCGTACCTTAGGTCACTCTGAAGGAACAGGCGACTATTGCGGAAATTGCCAGCGCTCCCCAGACAGCACGTAACCTCCCTGTTTTCCTGCATGATCGTGATCATTTCACACATGGCTGAAAGAAAGTGATATGGGCATGTGGATCGTTGGTTCACTTTTGTTAAACTTTACTCAGAATACTAAGTAGTAATGTACATCGTGTACACAATATGGTACCCAAAGATAAGACTTACTTTCAGGTGTACAGTCTGTGAAGAGTGGCACCAAAAGAGGCACATTATCAATGTTCTTCAAATGAGGACGAACCTGGTGGATCCCACGAGGTAACTTGGCCTTTACAAAATATATGGAAGCAATACATAAAACACAAGACTGAGCAGACTTTGCTTTGGCCTCTGTGGGCTAGAACAGTAGTTTCACTGGTTTTGATTAAGAGCAAATTACCCGGTTACAGTCCTCCAGGAAGCTGGGGACATCGCTATCTGTGGGCTGGAAACTGGCCAGGTCAGAGTGGGCTTCCTCTTCTGGTAGCAGGGGACCTTCAGCTTCATCCCGAGAATCTGTGTTACAGAAAAAATATAGTATGGCTTCCTCTACACTTATTAAGAAGCATTACTGAAAAAAACAAAAACAACGAAAAACACCAAAAGTACCAGATTTACATTTACTCATACACTCTTAAGATACACAGTATATTGCATACAGTATGTTGTATACAGCAGCGGTCTCCAACCTTTTTTGCATCACGGACCGGTTTATGCCCGACAATATTTTCACGGACCGGCCTTTAAGGTGTCGCGGAAAGATACAACAAAATAAAACTAGTACCGGTACCGAAAAAAAGAAGATTTATTCATAACACACGTGAAAAGACTCAGGAAACCCGAGTTAAAGATAAAAACGATAACAAAATAACGCTGAAAACCGATAACAACCCTGAAAACTATACATTTCACACCTGAGCCTCAACTCTCGCGGCCCGGTATCAAACGACTCACGGACCGGTACCGGTCCGAGGCCCCGTGGTTGGGGACCGCTGGTATACAGTACTAAACTGATTTTTTGTTGAGAAGGAACCCAATACTTCGAGAGAGGAGACTGCAACTGTAAGTGGTTTTATAGATATAACAGAGATACGGCTGGGCTGCCATAAATTGCTCTACCTCATAGGAAAACATGCATTGCCAGCTGTTTTTCCTCCCACTGAGTTAGGGAGGGCACATTTAGTGTGTATGCGGCAGAGTGTGAAGCACTGAGAATTAAAAGTAGCACCTCATGGTTCTCAGCCAGAAAAGGGTGGAGGACCCACTCTGGGTCAGGGACGAGTTGCTGACCTAGGTAGAGAAGTTTAATTATCTCAGGGTCTTGTTCACGAGTGAGGAAAGAGGGGAGCAGGAGATTAACAGGCAGGCTAGTGCTTTAGCTGCAGTGATGCAGACACTGTACTGGTGCATCACGGTGAAGAGAGAGCAGAGCGGAAGTGCACAGCTCTTGATCTACCTTCATGAAATGTTTGACAGTTTGGGTAATTGTGTTCTTTCAGATGTGGTTGTACATTTAGGTATTAGTTGCTTTTTTGCATTACCTCGTTATGTTGTTGTATCCTGTTACGTCAGTACCTAATAATTCTGTTTCTAGCGACACGAGAGACCTCACATTGGTTAATTGGAACGTAAAAGGTCTTGGACACGTGGTTAAGAGGGGTCATGTCCTTTCGCACCTTAAATTTTTAGAAGAAGAAATGATCTTCCTCAAAGAAACGCATGCTAGTGCAGCTGAGTAGCACAGGTTGAAAGCAAATAAGGTTTCTCAGGTTTTTCAGGCTCCATTTACTTATAAATCTAGAGGTGTGACAATCCTCATTTGTACAAATATTCTCTTTTGAGTGGAGGCCACAAAGGCTGATCCATATCATAGATACTTTTGGTTACTCTACCAAATGCTTTTCTAATTATTTATGCTCCTAATGTTGATACTCTTTTTTTGAGTTTTGATATTATTCCTCCATCTAATTCCAACATTGCAATTGGAGGTAGCGTCAACTGTTATCTTGAGCCCATTCTTGACAACCCACTCCCAATCATTTTCCACTACAGATTTTAAATGAGTTAATTAAATTAAAATATTTGGTGGATATTTGGAGATTTCCAATTATTCCAACTTTTGAAAGAGCCATGTTTTTTTCCCCTTTGAATATTTATTGTAAATAAGACAGAAGTACTTCCTATTCGATTACTTGTTGGAATAATCAACAGTTTACTTGATTACTAAAATAATTGATAGCTGCTACACTATTAATGACTAAATATATAATCAGCCTTTAAAATTGTTCCCATTACTAATAACACGAATATTAACTAAACTTGTCAGAAACACAGGTACCTTGGTTCAAATCCTCATGCAGGGAGCCATGACTGGGGCTTGATGGAGCTCCATCACAGGGACCGTCTCCGTTTGGTGTCAGAGAGATATGACAGTTCCAGCCTGTCTCTAAACCCATCTTCTCTGCAAACACCTGCACAAATCCAAAGGAGCCGTGTCAAATTTATAGTAGATTATAGCAGTATACTAGACTATATATACACACACACTACTATATAGTAGTATCCAGTATTTTAGTAGGTTTTTCCAAACAAATCCGACAATTTTCTTTAGGTCATAAACTGTGACCTTGTGTGAGAGCACACCTGTCTAAAGTGAAACACGCAATGTCATTTGCTGTTAGACCCTCATCAAATCTTTTTAGATGACGGAGAATAGTAATTAGCAGTAATTAAATAAGTTACCACCTTTGTCCTATTTGTGTGTACGTATGTAAATGAGCAAAAACTTATAGATACTTATAGATAATAGAAATACTAAATAAATAAGTTAAAACTAAATAAGTAAGCTTTTAATTGCAATGATTAAGAGCTTGACTGTACTCACCTTGCTGCGGAGCTCATCCTCCATGGAAAAGTAAACAAAGCGGATGCAAGCAGTGACGAGGGCATCAATGAGACGGACCGTGTCTAGCCTTGCCTGGAACTGGGATGACACCATTCCCATAAAGATCTGCCCGCTTAGGGCCTGAACACAGTCGTCACGCTCCACACCCTCACCTATACCTTCTGTGAGCATGACGGGAAAGAAGAAAGAGGGTAACTAAACAATGTAACATCTGTCTAAAGTCAGAGAAATCTCTTTATCCATACAATTTTGCAATTTATAGTCACTTCCAAGACATGTAGAATCAAAACTTACTAACTCACTTGTATGCAGTCATGGTCTTTGATAAACAAGTCAAACTACTGAACCTTGGATAACAGCAATTGAGCTTTGCAGTGACAACATATTTCCTTTAATTCTTGTACAGTTTTGTCTTGTTCAAATGCAAAACCACCCATTTCATCAGTGTCACAGTCCATACCATCTGAGCTCCAGCTGTTCCTGCAGGAGTTGTGTTTGATGGGAGTCGTGGAGGGCAACTCTAGTCCAGAAAACAGACAGGGACCAGGAGCCAGTTCCATACATTTCCCATTCAGCTGGCTGGACAGAGACACTTGCATGGGTTTATACGCAAAAGCTGAGCAGTAACCTGATAGACAGGCACGTTGGTAGAAGTCCAGGACCTTCTTTCTGTGACACAGGAACCAAAGGATGAAATGAAAACTTTCCAAAATCACTGTGTGCATTTGGAAAGTGTAACTATGTTAACTTCAAGCACAAACAGAAAGCCAAAGACAGACCTGTCTGAGCCTGAGAGGGGGTAGATATCAGTTCCATCCCAGAAGTCAGTGCAGGCCTCCAGGATAAGGTCAGCTGAACCATGTGACAGCATCTGGACATTATCTAACAGTGCAAAAGAGCATTATCAAGAAGGAAAACAACAAAACACACTTTCTTTATGGTACTGTTTGGCCAAAGGGAGGATTGGACAGAAACATATACAGGAACATGGATTATGTGCAGGTAATAAAGAGATGGTGCTGAACATTTTATTAAAACTGCATCATAAAACCCAAAACAATAATAGTGTGCTGACTCACTGGATGAAGAGTCTCGTACGAACAGAGAGATGAGATGGGAGATGGGAGGCTGGCGTTTGGTGAAGTAATGAAGGCGGTGGGATGTGAACTCCTTGGTCTTCTCTCCAGATGGCAGCTGGTAGAGGGTCAAGTGGTTCTCCTGTTTAAACAACTCTCTCGCACCAGGGGTGAACCCTGACAAACACAGACAAAAAGAAGAAAACAATGGTTCTGAATTGTTCTCTGATAGATTTTAATATCGCACTCAATCGATTCGGATGCAGTGATTTATTTAAAATTATATACCAGTATGAGAACATAACATCTTGAGAAAGCTATTTTTTTGTAATTTAATTTGGTAAAGTAAAGTAAAACATATATTCTATGTTCATTACGTGTAATGAACATAGAATATATAATAATAGAATATATTATTTGTATAAAATCTCTCTTTTAACGCCTGCCGTGTAATTTGTGTGTTCCTCATGCTCGGGTGCTCTACCAGAGGTGGGGGAGTTTGAGGGTTCTGCACACACAGCTCTGACGTTGTGCCTTGAATCTGCCTGAGTCACTCATTCGGTTTCAGCATTACAGCTCTTAATGCTTCTATTACTGCTGGGACCACTTTGCACTTTACCTACATAATAATTTAGCCTACATAACCATACCACACACTCATTACAAATTAAACACACAGATTCGACATTTAGATTTAGTGGTAAAATAAAAAATAAACCCTGGCTGTACTTGTCAGACACAGCAGGGTTAAATCAGTGGTTTTCATTTTTGCTGTTGGGTTGATAAAGGCATGTTGCTGTCGCATCATAGACTACTCATTTGTAGAAATATGTTTACAATAATGCACTGTTGCACTGCGGTCTGAATATTACTAGGCTACTAGGAGTGTTGCATTTAACCATCTACATCATGCTGTAGAAATTTCTGTTTGAAATTTTTTTTCCCCGTCTTACTCTGTATTTCTGGCAGGATCATTGACAGGGCCACTCAGAGGTTGCTTCTGGCCACATGTGGCCCGTAGGCCGTTGCTTGAATAGGCTGGGCGTAGAGGATCTGTAAAATCCTCTGTGCCACAGGATAACCATTGTTAAATAGGTT